TCGATCGGCCACTGGTGGAAAGTGGCACCGTGCCTGAAATATGTCTCATACCTCATTGGGGCCACAAACAGGGGGCCAGCCCAAGATGAGGACTCACCCAACAGAGCAGGGGCAGAGGAAGCAGGATGCAAAGCGGTGCATCTGGATCACATTTGCGTGGGCCACCGATGGGAGCTAGGCCGAAGCCGGGGCCTCGATTTGCGGCTGCCTGTGGAGGACGATGCAGCTCCAGGCCCGTTCGGCCGCGGATGCTGCGGGGCAAGGTAGGGTGAGTCCCAAGGATGCCGGATGCGGATGCAATGCGGAGGAGGGCATGGCCTGTGCCCGGCAGATAGAAGACATGTTCTAAGCCTTACCCCATTATTTTTGTTATTAAAGATTTGGCAGCGAGCCAGATGCAGCCATCAAAAGAGCCACATCTGGCTCGCGAGCCATAGGTTCCTGACCCCTGTCCTAGAGTCTAGGGATTCTTAGACTTCAAAGTACTGTTCTCCCTCAGTAATAATTGGTGTTGGCTCTGAGGGATAGGGGTGCCACCTCGTGGATTCCTTGAAAGGTTTTAAAATATTACAATGAAATACCGGGTGGATTTTTCTATAAGTTTTAGGCAAAGTCAGTCTGAATGAAACAGGTCCAATTACTTTCTCAATAGGAATTGGTCCAATAAACTTATGTCCCAGTTTTTTACATGGTTGGGTAGTTTTTAAATGTTTTGTCAACAGCCAAATTTCATCTCCCACCTTCCAGGGCTTTTCTGGCGATCGTTTCCGGTCAGCATATTTTTTATATTCTTTTCATGCTTCTTGTAGTGCAATCTCAATGATTGGGCATGACTCAGTCATTTGCTTAATCCATCCATCTGTAGACAGTTCTGGGGAAACTTTTAAAGACAATTCTGGGATTGGCACAAGTCCTGTCCTGTGGCTATTTTAAATGGTGTGTAGCCGGTGCTTTGATGCACCATATTATTATATGTCACTTCAGCAAAAGATAAAAGTTCTGCCCAATTGTCTTGCTGATAGTTTGCAAAACATCATAAATATTGTACCAACACAGAGTTAAGTCATTCCAATGATCCATCCATTTCCAGATGGTGCGAAAAGCTCAGTGCTTGAGCGGACCCAGTTAGTTTCATAAATTCCTGCCAAAACTTAGAAGTAAACTGGACCCCGCGGTTGCTGATCACTCATTCGGGGGTACCATGGAGGTAATCATATTCTTTGTGAGTACACAGTGAAGGTGATCAATAGATTTAGAGGATTAGATTTGGTAGACAGAGTG